ATATTTTTGAATTTTAGATTCACTCCTCTTGGATAGAAAATATTTATGTTTTGATATTTCTCTTTTATTATATTTATAAGTATTCAAAAATTTATTATGTTTTTAACATTGAAAAATGATGCAATAAATTATTTGTTAAATAACTGTTCTACCTAGTTATTTGACTCATTAAAAATACAATCTATTTTATTTAATATTACTCTCACTATAATAATCGGTAGAATACAAATTTGGCATTAATTACAGGTCACCATCTTTTTTATACAGGGTGTCTCATAACTAGTGTATGTCCCTGAAATGGGGGATAGCTGACGTGATTCTGAATAAGATTTCCCTTTGCAAAAATGGGGTTTGAAGCCTCGTTTTTGAATTATTAAGGAAAAACACGGACCAATCAGAGCGCGTAACGCCCACTCAGGCTCGAAGCTGTCGCTCACGCGTCTGCGTATGCGTAATCCTCGCGCTCTGATTGGTCCGCGCTTTTCCTTAATAATACAAAAATGAAGCTTCAAACCCCATTTTTGCAAAGGGAAATCTTATTTAGAATCATGTCAGCTACCCCCTATTTCAGGGACTTACACTAATTGTGAGACACCCTGTATTTTTTGCGCTATTTGAAGCCTTAACGAAAGAAGGCAAATTTTTTTTTTTTGTTATTTTAAATGAAAATGTCGGACTATTGAAAAAAGTGACAAGAAAAAAAACACTATGAATCACTCTGTTTTATGCTCGAAGCAATTTCTGATATGTGTGTAACAACATTTGAAAGCAGTATGCATTTGGAAAACCTCTGTGAAGATATTTTCGAGTAGGCGTCGATTTACTTCCGTTTCCTCTTCTCGCGTTGATCCTTTTTCTCTATTTGCAATAGTAGTGCTTTGTAGATTAGAATATTTGCTTAGTATCGTAGTATTAGTGATAGAATACATGTAATCGCTAACCACTCGTTGCTACATCTACAATCATCATCTTAGGTAAGGAAAATCAAACTCTAAAACATTTTTGAATGTATTTTGAGAACATATTTGTATAAACTTATCGAAATTTCATTCTGCAATATGAGGTGAAAAAGAACCAACTAATATCAAATTAGCATTTAATTAGCATTTAGTTAATAATAATTAATATTGTCATGAATATATAATTTTTGTAGTCAATGAAATTATGATATAGTATAAATTGGAATTATATTTGGAATTAAATTAAATTGAAATTATAATAATTTTTGAGTAGGTCAGTTTTTATCAACTTCAATTGTTGCAGTAATATAACTATTATTATTACTATTTAAACAATAGTTAAATACAAAACAAGTTCATTAAATAAATAAAGGCAAAATTATTGAAGAAATTTGAATTATTTATTATCTTTAAAAGAGTTCAGTATAGAAAAAGGTTTATTAAATAAATAAAGAAAGAAAGAATTATTAATATAAAACTGTTAAATGTAGAAAATGTTAAATAAGTAAAGAAAATATTATTTAGAAATTTGTAAATTATCAGTTTATTAATAGTTTGATTATAAAACAGTTAAATGTACCAGAAAGTAATTAAATAAATAAAGTAAAGATTATTCAGAAGTTTTTAAATAATTAAGGCCTTGTATGAAATAGTTAAATGCAGAAAAAATTTGTATTAACAGTGTAATACGTAAAACAGTTGCTTGTTGGATCAGTTTCTGACTTGTACTACTTATTGCGGCGCAGCGTACCGAACACTCGTCTGACGTATTACTGACTTATACTACTTATTCCGTCCTATTAAACCGAATTTATGTATAGTTTGCACCAGTTATTAATTCTGAATCGATTTTCGCATCATTTACGAACTATACAAGAACTGCCATCACAAAATATTAATATAGCTCACTATTTAATTATATTTATTCATTTTTATTATACTTTTGATTACATGTATGAATTTAATGAATTAACAAAAATATGAAGAGAGAAACTATTTTAATTCTCTGTTTTAGAATTATGTTGATATTTCGCGATATCAAAATAAAAAATTTAATTTATAGTTTACACAATTATATTACGATAATATTATCCTATTTCGTTGAAACGTTCTGTGTGCAATGTCTGCTATAATTAATTGCTACGTTAATTACATCCAACTACATTTGCTGTCTAAACACATATTCTATCAAAATTATGTGGAGTGTTATGAAATAATCAAATTTTATAAATTTTGCAATGAAAGTGGTTTTATAAAGGTGTATAAAAAATATTATCTATATTTTTGTGTTATAATTTTAAATAAATAAATTATGTCTACAGTTCATTTATCTCATTTTCGTTGCTTTTTGCAATAAATACATTGCACAAAACAATACACTCTGAAATTCTTGCATTTAATTTAATATAAACGAATCTTTTTTATTTTTTATAATTAGCATTTTTTGTTGCATTTCTTTAAAATGTTGTGAATTTTCAAAATTAAAAATATGTAACAAAGGGTTAACTTCTTTTGGTTCGAATTTCTTACATTATTAAAAATAAATGCATTTGTGACCTCCAATTTTTGCTACAAAATTATAATTTTTATTCAAATTTGATTAATCAGTGCAAATATGATTCAGACTAATAATTTTAATCATTTATCTTAATCATTAATTTTAATCATTTCTATATTTGTAATACTTTTAATAATTTCTCAATTTTTTTTTACTGTAAATTTTCGTCAATTTTATGTAACAAATAAGGAAGCTAATTACAATTAACCTCGTATAAGAAATAGTATCATTCTTTCAAGATTAATAAAAAACAAAAATGCACCACAAAACACGATAAAATCTTGCTTTCTATGTTCAGAAATATTGAAACACTTCCTTTACAAGGATTAAAACAGCTATTAATTTTTCGCAAGAAGCATGTGTAAGCCCAAATCTCCAGTTCGTTAACAAACTAGTAAATTCCGTAGCTCTCAATTAACTCACAGCAATTATGTACTAATATAAGGAGGCATAGTTTCAACAGTACTGCTTTGATGGCCAAACACGCCACAAATTGACCCATTAATTTCAATCCTGCCATAATCTTCCAATAGATTCCAACGATGCTATCGGTATTCCTACCAAACATGCTTCACTATAGATTTCTCACGTGGCTGTCAAATATTTGATCGAATATTATTGTTGTAGAATTCTAACCACTGAATGTAAATTCTGATTGATCTTCAGTGACATTTTCATGGATCCAAATCCTCAAATGATGGATTACTCAAATAAATATAATGTAAACTAACGTTAGACTAATCTTTGCTGTTAATAATTCATTTTTGTGTTACATTTTAGTTAAAAAATGTTAGTAAATAAATTATAGGTATTTTGCAGTAGTATAAATTAAGCTTTATTTAAGGTTTTATATGTATAAAATTTCAAGTCATTCTGATACTGTTCAGGTACTTCAATCTTTTTATATTAATACTTTCTTCTTCATTATTATTCACTAATTCTGTAGAGCTTACATAAGATGTACGAAGTAAATAATAAATAAACAAGAAATAATAAATAATAATTAACAAGTAAATAACAAATAAGAAATAAACGACAAAAAATATTAAAAAGAAGAAAAATGTTAACTTGATATTTAACTATCGAGCACCCGTTAGATAATTTCAATCAGGTTCTCAAAGTTCATTCAACGATGATAGAAGATACAGTAACCTTAATCTGAACTAACAATAAGAGATAGTTTAAATATTTGCTGATCGCAGAGCGTGATTAAAGTTGCTGGATCGAAAGACAGAAACCTCTACATTCTAGTACGTATTCCAACAACTGTTCATCACACTTATTCATTTGTACTTGTCTCGCATAGAGTCGGCAGATAATAGTAGATAATTATCTAGTAGCGGTGTTAATAGCAGTAATTTCGTAGGCGTTGAAGAAGTAGCTACAGTTCAAGTACCCGTTCCATTCTTAGAGTTTTGCAACAAGTAGCTAATGAAACAAAGCGTAAGTAGGCTTCTTTGTGTTGGTTAATTGTTCTGCCCTTGAACTTGTCGAATCCTCTTCTTATTTCCATTCTTAGTTGCCTCTAAGTTATACAGTTCTTTGTTTGTAGCACTGTCGATTCTGCGAGTGTTTTTTCATTTTAATTTGTGCTTCTATTGCAGATTAAGACGGATAATTTGATAAAACGGTATTGACATTTCACTGTCGGTCGAGGTGCTTTTTTCAATGTATAGTGAAATTCGAGAATTAGGATTACTTTTTACGAGTAGAAATTTTCAGAGCGAAATGAAATCTTGCCAGCAGTCTGCGTGATACTAAATGTACTACTCGTGCAAAGGTATGAAGTTTTAGTATGAAAAATGATATATTTAGGAGTTAGGAATTTTGGGATATTTGATATTTGAAAGTTGTCGAATATTGGGATTTTACGAAATTGGGAAATTAAGAATTTGGGAATGTGAGATTTTGGAAATTTTAGTATTTTGATATTTTGCAATTTAGAAATGAAAATATTTGAAAATAGAGGAATTTAAGAAATTTAGACATTTGGGAAGTTGGAAAGTTGGAAATTTGAAAATCTGACAATCTGGGTATTTGAAAACTGAAGAAAACTTTGTAAATTCAAAAATTTCAAACATTTGAACATTTGAATATTTAGAAATTTAGAAAGTTCGAAGTTTTGGGAATTTAAAGATTGAAATAGGAGAAAATTTGAAAGTTCCAAATTATAACTTTAAAAATATAAAAATATAATGTATTAAACTCAATTGCAAATTAAATAAATTAATCATTTCCGTAAATGAATCTCACTTTACCTGAGTGTCATACGTACATATAACTTCATACTTTTGACTGGTACTGTATTTTTGCACTCAAAGGGGCGGAAAGGAAATAACTCTATTTCCCCCTTGACAAGACATAGCAAGAAGATCACCGTGTCACCATGGGAGAAAATATATCATATGGTACGCAGGTTGCTGGTCAGGTAATCACAAAATACACCAGAATATAGAAAGAAAATATTTTCCTGTAATTCACAGGGCGGGGTGAGCGCATAGACAGCGTCGTGAACATTCCGGGGAAGTTTTATGATCGCAACAGTGAATCCGACGAGGATGACAAGTGGAGGTAAACAAATTCACATATGCAAACGTATAAACACAATTTGTTGTGTGTAACATTCAAACGAGATTTTGATTTTTAAACGAACAAACAGCAAACAGTTACTAATATGAAAAATTAATTGAAGCTACATACACATGTCAACCCGTGAGTTGGCGCACGATCGATCCAAAGTAAAAGAAGCTTTCCACCATGAACATTTCTAGTGTTACATTTCAAAGCAGAACGAAATCTCACTTTCACTGTCGATAACTTAGATTGTTTATAAAATATTAACATAGCGTTGCGTCGTCTTTTTCTTCGTAGGTAGAAACAGCGATAAACTATAAGAATGCATTGCATCCGAAGATTATAACTCACTATAAGTATTTCACTAACGAATGTCAAGTTTGCGAATGAATTACTCGGAACCCTAGAAACTAGCGTGACTTTCAAAACGGTAGAAATTGATTAAAAAGTTTGTTGGTACATTATTCTATAGTATGTTGAAACAACCAGTGGAACCAAAAACAATTTTAACCCTTAGAGTACTAGAGACATATAGATGTCAACCCACGAGTTGGCGCGTGACCCAAAGTAAAAGAAGCTCCCCACCGTGAACACTTCCAGTTACATTTCAGCAAATAAGAATAATAACAATAACAACTGCTGAATTCGCACTATCTCACTCTCGAGACGTTTGTCTGCCATTGTTTTGGCCTAATTGTGCGACCACTCGAGCCAATATACCGCCGAAAATACCTGTGAGGCGTCCATTTTTCTATTCGGACCAATTGAAAGCATAGTTCTTTTAAATACTCGGGTCACTCTTCATGCACCAACTCATGGATTGACATCGGTAGCTGCTTTTTATACTAGCGCATTAACTAGAATGACTATAGCATTAACACCAGATGTATGGTTGTTTGTTAAACATTAGAAAAAAGTTATGAAGTCAGGAAATAAAGTTTGTAATTATTTTAGTAGCCCAGATATTTGTTTCAATTCCTCGGGATTAAAAATACTTGTTTCCCTTTTTTGGGATATTTTTGTTCACAGATAATATTGTGTGGACTTTTGTGTATTATTTATTGTAAAGTGTACTAATATTGACGTCAATTTTCAGTCAGCAAACGAGAAAAGAAAATGGTATTGATGGTTACCTGGGTCGCGGACAAGTGCAACCGAAGGGAATAAAAAATACAGCTGGTAAAGATTTCGAGAATTTCAACAATTCTATCTTTTGAGTGTATTTTGTTATAATTTTTTATTTCTTTTCGAATGACCGAGAAAACATTGGTATATTTTAAATTTTTTAAATTTGAGAAACATCTAATAGTATCTGTAGTTCTATATTATATTTTTGAAATATAATCTAAACAATTAGAAAGTTGTTTATAAAATTTTATAAACTAAATTGTTGGTTTCTTTTATACATTTGTATTAAAAGCAAATAATTTTAGAACATTTCTCTGTCGTATACAGTGCACATACTTTCGGTCGATAGTGCAAATATGATACAACCGTAATACCCATGAAACTTTTATGAATTTCAGGAGCTCAAAATGGCAAGGTCAAGCTTGGTTTCTGTCTAAGCAAAGGGACTCTCGAAGTAGAGGTTATCTGCGCTATAGACATTTGTCCAGAGGAAAAAGAAGAACCAGGTATGATATTTATAACTTCTAGAAATAATAAAATTCATAAAAAGAAATTCTAATAAACTTTCTATATTTTCGTTTTCATTGTCGCATTTAATGTGCTGGAAAGATTGAAGTATTTAATTAAATGAAAATGTGACATTAGGGATATTTATTATTCATTTTGAAATTAGAAAACTAAATCTGGGAATTTTCAAATTTTAAAATTCTCAAATTCCAAAATTCCCAAATACTCAAATTCCAAAATTCCCAAATACTCAAATTCCGAAATTCACAAATTCCCAAATTCCCAAATTTCCGAATTCCCAAATTCCCAAATTCCCAAATTCCCAAATTCCCAAATTCCTAAATTCCTAAATTCCCAAATTCCTAAATTCCCAAATTCCCAAATTCCAAAATTCCCAAATTCCCAATTCTCAAATTTCCAAACTCCCGAATCCCCAAATTCCCATATTTCCAAATTCCCAAATCCCCAAATTCCCAAATTCCCAAATTCCCAAATTCCCAAATTCCTAAATTCATAAATTCCCAAATTCCCAAATTCCAAACCCTCAAGCCCCCAAATTCCAAAATTCCCAAATTCCCAATTCTGAAATTCCCAACTCCCAAATCCCCAAATTCCCAAATTCCCCAATTCCCCAATTCCCAAATACCAAAATTCTCATATTGCTAAATTCTCAAATTCCCAACTCCCAAATCCCCGAATTCTCATATTCCCAAATTCCCAAATTCCCCAATTCCCCAATTCCCCAATTCCCAAATACCAATATTCTCAAATTCCTAAATTCTTAAATTCTCTAACGTCTAAATTCCCAATTTCCACGAATCGCGCCCGTGCGATTGCAATCGTTGCTCCTCCGCTCACAAATAAAAATAATAACCGAATCATCTTCTTCTTTTATAATAGACACCTACGTAAAGACGTATCTACGGGACGGCGACAGGTGGCTTCAGAAACGTAAAACACGCGTAATCCGGCACTCGAGAAATCCGCAGTACCGTCAAACCATCAAGTACAGCAGCTGCGACGTTCTTGGAAGGAATTTGTTGGTGATGTTATGGGAGAAGAAACAAGCATTCGAGAGTAATCAAGGCTTAGGCGGTGCAGAAGTGGACCTCGATCTTCTTCCATTGACACGATTGACCGTCAGTTGGTATCCGTTGTTTCCTATTCACACTCTTGGCACTCATACTGCTGATTCTCCTTGATGGTTGAGGGAAAAATGGGCCCTCGAGGCCGGAGAACTCGACCTCAGATTGAGCCTTCTGCTCAAGGACGAGGAAGAGTCCGTCGTCAAAATCATCTCTTGATGGAACATCGATTATCGTTCCTTCAAACTACGTTCTTTTTTGTTCTGCTTTCCTCGTTCGAATCAATTTTCATTATTCTATGATTATTTTTGTTCATTCATTGCAACGAATTTTAACCCTTTGCTCTTCGTGTGTTGGTATGGACTTGAGAACTTTTGAGTATATTACAGGACTAATATTAACAGCTTGACATAGTATTTGGTTTCCTTATTTAGAAATTTGAATTATGGTACTCAGAGATATTGATTTAACCTCTTTAAGGATGGTCTTGGTAGGTTCAATCGTGTGTACATCACATATGTAGACAATCACATATGCAGACATATGTAGACAATTTTACATTCATGAAGGATCACATATGTGGACAATTAATTTGTTCTTAAATTCATTAATTGATCACCATATTTGTAGACATTTAGTTTTGTGTTCGAATTCTTCAAATAAAGATCACATATGTGGACATTTAGTTTTATATCTGAATCCGTCAACTAAAGATCACATATGTGGATATGTAGTTTTGTAGCTGAATTCATGAACCAAAGATCATATATGTGAGCAATTAATTTGCTTTCAAATTCATGAGTTGATGATCATATACAATGAATATTTAGTTTAATCAAAGTTCACATATGTGGACAATTAATTTGCTTTTAAATTCATGGGTTGATAATCACATATGTGAACATTTAGTTTCGTGTCTAAATTCATCAAAGTTCACATATGTGCACGTTTAGTTTGATTTTGAATTCATCAACATATGTGGATCACATATGTGGATGTTACCATTGTTTTCGCATATTATATATTTTTCCTGAATTTATTTATGTAAATGTTAGAGAGATCCCTGAGGAGGCTAACTCACTATCTACATAATAAAATTCATGAGGTACTTGTTAATTAAATTTCTAACTACCTAATTCAGTTGTCAGTGAACCAACTATTTTCCCTTTTAGTTAAACAACTAAATAAAAATTTTAGTTTCTTCATACAAATTATGACTGAAACAAAGAACACCTTCAACATATAATGCTAAACAAAGAAACAACTCTTATTTTTGGAGTAATTATAATTTTTTCTAGCTAAAAAACCATAAAATAGAATAGTTATAAATTCTGAAAAAGTTACACTTGTCAAAGTGTTAATACGTACATGTATGCAAAATATAGAAAAGTGAAAAAAATTGATTCACAATATTGAAACAAGATATTGAAATTATAGCAAAGGGTTAAAGCAATTCTACAAGAAAAGTTTTGTCGTTCTACGACGAAAACAACATTAGAGAGGTTCTATATATTTTTCATGAATCGTTAAAAAAGGCTAACATACAACAGGAGAGGAGAACAAAGAAGATACGTCTTACAAAGACGACGAGGGTCCATTTTTCCCATAAATTAAAGGTTGATGGAGACATACACGAAAGACGATCGACATCTGTCATGGTAACACATGCTCTGGTTGATCCAGTTTCGCGATTCGATCGTGTCTCGTTGAAAATGTGCGAATTTTATCGACGAATATGTCGTTAGATTATTTTTTGGTGGGGGTATCTCGAAAATGCAGACAGTTTGAAAATTATGTAAACGAAGACAAGACAAAACGAGAGAGATAATTATGATCAGAAATGAATTGATTATGGATATTTAATAAATGTATACATTTGTTGACAAAATGAATAAACACAGAAATATTTTTAAATAATTAAACTCTTAATTGTTAAATAATTAGTAAATATAGAAGCATATAGAATATGTTTAGAAGCCAAATTTTTTGTCAATACGCAACAATTGAAAATTAAAAAATAATTAAGTCTTTATTAGATTCTTTTGTGGGCAATCGGGTTGGATATTCATTTTTATATTCTTTTGTAACAATTTTTCATGTTATAAAATATCGTAAAATCATTCAAAATTTCAAAATAAAAATATTTAACTTCCACAATAAAAATTTTGCATATTAATGTTTCCAAAATAGAAATTTTACATGTTAAAACTTTTCAAAATAGAAACTTTAAATATTAAATGTTCCTCAGATTTTAGATATCGAATCTTTCGAAACAAATTTTTAATATCGAAGTTCTAATCTATTTCAATATTTCCTGTCAATAACTTTTTATGTCATTCTTGAAATATCGTCAGAATATTTCAAATTGAAATCGTGTATTTACGTCGGTTTTTATTTTCAAACTAATTTTGAGTATATCTTGAATGGGTTCCATTTGAAACGCTCACACAAGGGTCAATTACAAATATTATTTGCATAAATTTTGTGTAACGAAAATATAAGAGCACATTTGTCAGAAAAAGTACTGAATTACATACATTTTTATTTGCACTTTAAATTGAACTAGAAAAATATTTCTGCTTTAAAAGTTCTTTCAGTAAAAATTTTGTATAAACATATTTATCAAATTTTGTGTATGTATATTTATCAAATAAATATGTAGTTGATAAATGTATACATTTACTAAATGAATAATATTGAATCGAGATAACTCCACTTGAATTATTATTTAATTTAACGATAGACAATCGTCACTGAGGCTCGCTGGCCGAGCCCAAATATGAAGAGCAATCTGTAAATGGTTACCGGAACAATTTTACGGGAAACACGAATGGGAAGCAGATAATTTTGGTGTTTAGACGTCAAGCAATTTTTGTAGCTCGTAGACTGACAACGGAGATTCCTCGGACGAGGATTACGTGGATTAAGACGATCGTCGAGAACTACTGCTATTTCTTTGGATTAAAGAAAATCTGACGATTTTATTCCATGCAATTTTTTACCCTTGTGTCAATATTTATTAGCATGTTGACGTTAAAAAATGCTATGTCGAATTATTTAAAATTCTTTATTTTTAAGGTTTCGTGTATTCTCTCATTAGATATTAATTATAATTTGAAACTTAGTAATTTTTCTCATTTATAAATTTGAAACGAAATGAGGGATTTTTGTTCATTTTTAAATTGGCTTCTTACATGTAATATCGATTATAATTTCGAAAACTCAATTTTTATGCTAATCATGACTTTAAAACAATTTCGTAAATTTTCAAATTGGCTTTTATTAGATGCTAATTTTAATTTGAAAAATTTTAACCAAAACACTAATTTTTAAATTAGATTTTATTAGGTATTAATTAAAATTTGAACAAATTTTAGTCAAGAATTTTTATTTTTGTATTAGTTTAAATATCAATTATAGTCTAATAAGGAAATGAATGATTTTATAAATTCATTAATAGTTAGTAAAAAAGTAAATAATTTCATCATTTTTCGTTTTAGCTTCATCCATTAAATACAAACTAAAATTTGTAAATGATCAGCCTTTTTTCAAACTGATTTTATTTCTTCAATATTAGTCACAATTCAAAGATCACTTACGCTACTTTTTTATCAGATATCATCATAAAAAAATTATTTATATATTTGAAACGGTAACAATTTTTCAGTATGTTAAAAACATCCATCAACGTTAAAAAGCACATAAAATTACAAGAATCGTTAAGTGACCTTCAGAACGTTAAACAAGATGAACATTTTGCTTATTAACACAAGGCTCAATTGATCAATAATTCATCTGTCGAGAAATTCAGTGGTTCTCGAGATCAAGTTACCGTTTTCTTCTTTCGCTGCAAGAATACCGAAAAATTTCGGGAAACGTCGCGAAAGAATTGAAACGATACTCGAATGATAAACATTCCTAAAAGTATTGCGCTTACCCCGCCCAAGTTATAAGCAAAAACTCTACTCTATATCGTGAAATATAAATCATAAATGTATATGAAAATACACGCACGAGTTTAGACATCTAAAGTCTGGTGCGTGGTACGATAACTTGAAATAATCAAGCTTAAGTGTTAATGATATATATTTCGCTGACCAAACCCCATTATTGAACAGATTTAACCTTCACTGTAACAAGCTTCCCCTGAATGGGAACAGATACTAAAGTCAACAGTTTTAGGCGAATGCAGAAAGTAGTTTGATTTTAATAAAAACTTAGATAAAAGCACAAGATAACAATTATTTGTAGTAAGTTTATTTTGTATGTTCTAATATAGTTTTCGTTCTTTCTCTTCTCAATTGATTATCAGACGTTGAAAACAATTTTTGGAGAAGACGCCTCTCACGGCGGCCATCTTTGTGGGACGTTTGTACGTCCTTGTCGTTTGTTGTAATTTTACTTTAAACGTTTTGATATTTTTATATGTTAATTTTCGTTTGTGTATTAACTAACTATTAACTCAATACATATATAAGAATAAAGTAGTTTCTTTCGTCAAATTTTTGTTTGAAGAATAGTATTTTCTATTGTAACTTTTATATTAAATGGTCTATTGTAACTTTTAATTACTTCTTAATCACTATGTACAGTGGAAAATTGATCATTTTGTACACATCAAAATTTATGTAAATTTATATATAAATCATTGCTTTCATATCTATTTTACCATAATATTTATGTATATATAAATTTCATTTTTTAATTTTTGTACAATACAAATTTAGTGATTTTGTTGTCTTAAAAATACTTGTAATAAAAAGTACCAATAAAATAATTTTCTATTCTACATAAATTTAACACTTATACAAAAATTTGTAGTGACAAATAAAGGTATCTAATAAAATAGTTAATAACTAAAAAATTCAAATAAAATTTACCAAAGAACTATATATTATTTAATCTAACATACTCTAAATTATTCTGTTTATTTCCATCCTATGGGATTTCAACTCTGTTATTTCAGAGCCAACAAACTTTGTCTAGAGAGATTATATTCGTCCAAAGTAGAAAGGGTTAAAGTTTACGATCTGATTAATAGCCCATTTAACTTGCTTCTCATTTGTAAATATTCAGCCATTTTAAAAGTTCTACAATGACCTAAATAAACGAAAATCTATCAAGGAAACTTCGTGATTGCTTTCTTGATAACCGGTTTAGTGCAAAGCCTGTTTTATCATGGCGAAGCAATGTTTCTTTTCCATTCGTTCAATTAAATCTTTTGTCTTTCATAAAATTTTTAAACTGCTGGATCTAAATCAGATCAACTATTAATTATATAATAATATTGTTTCAGGAATATGTGTAAAGATCTTTTTGAAAACTTGTTTTATTTTCTTATATTTAAAATATTAATTGATAATGTAGAATCTATAACAATTTCTGCATTCGCCTAGTGGATTTAAAATTATTGTCGATGATTCGTGGCTCGTGGTTCCAAAATTAAGAATAACGTGAAATTATGTTGTTTGAAATTATATCTTTATGTTTTACTAATGACAGAAAATTCTATCAAATCTAAGTTAATTTTGAGATAGAATAATTAAATGATTAAAGTCGTCTAAAGTCTACTGTAGCAAAATTGAAAAATTACCGAAAATATCACAAAAGATTATTCACTCTTTGTTACACGATTTCTTCTGAATTTCAAGTATTCATGTATCATGTGATCGATACATATTTTTTGAAAGTATAACTTTCTCAGATTTTAAGCTTATGTCCATCATTCCTAAACAAAATAACCTTCGATATACTTTTTATTTTCCAACCCTAATAATAATATTAATTCAAACATCCATGTT